TAAATCCTTTTAATTGTTTTCAGATTGTCTTTGTTTTTCATTGGTAGGTGTAAAAGGGGAGGGAATTATGGGGAGAAAAATAATGTCCAGCCACTTGTCTCAGAGAATCACTGATTATTTTAGAGCAAAACATTAAAAAGTTTTTTGTTATTTTTGGTTTTTTTTATTTATTTCTTTTTATTTCAGCATATTATGGGGATACAGATGTTTAGGTTATGTATGTTGCCCTTGTTTGTTTTGTTTTTTAAGAAAGCTCAACCTGCTTTCTCCTGGTGGTCTATGATCCTGTGACTTGTTTCAGGAAGGTAGAGTACAAGGCAGGTGGCAGTAACAGCTGTTCATAGCATACTGCTCTTGACTCCCCCAGAGCCGGGTGCTGGGCAGTGTATATAGTCCTCGTAATAACTGGGTCACACTTCAGTAGTTTGCAAGGTGATGGTTTCTTCTTCAGAAGCATTTTCCTATAGAAAAGTGTTAACATGTGGTATTAATTTTCCAGATTAATTCCACAAAAACTTACTAACCCACACTTAGTACACCTAAATTGTAGTATGTCCATTATCTATGTCCATTATCTTGTCCACCCAATTGTAGTATGTCCATAATGTCCATTATCTAACATTGTTTCTGAGGAGACTATTTCCCATTTTTGCAACAGAATTGATCTCCCAGCTTTGGCAGTGGGCATTTAAGAACGATTTTCAGTAACAGATTGGAAGACGGTGAGGAAGGAAATGCCCCATGTTACCTACCGCCCAGGCTGTTCCCCTGCTGTCGCTCTCAACCTCTGCCCTCCCAGCTTCCGGCTGTGCTAGCAGTCATTCCCTCCCCTCTGTCGGAAAACCTCATAGTGCGTAAGCACAGTTGGGGCTACCAAAACTTAAAAGACCCTGTTCCCCCAAAGTGTCTTGCTCCTCTTCCCACTCATCTCTTTTCCTCTGCTTGTGAATTTCCTGAAAGAAGACTTTATATCTGTTCCTTTAATTTTTCTTCTTATTTTCATTCTGAGAGTTTCTCAAGACTTCCCAAACCTTTAACAATAATGAGTGTTTCTTAGTCATGTTCAATTGTGCAACCTTTGACCTGGGGCAAGTTATTTTTTTTTTTTCTATGCTTCAGTTTCCTCATCTATAAAATGGGATTAATATTACCACAATTTTGCATTATGAGGATTGAATGAGAATAATACATGTAGAGTGTTTAATACAGTGAGTGGTCTAAGGTAGGTATTCAGTTTCTGATAATATCCAGTTCCCTATTTTTCTCC